GTGGGACGTCGTGGCCGGCCAGGGGCATGCATGAGGCGCGGGGCGGAAGCTATTCAGCAAGAGATCTGGGATAGCTGCCGCCGCGGCAGGGGCAGCAGCAGCGAGCGCGCCCCTGCAAGGGGGGGTTGTGTGTCAGGGCCAAGGTGTCTAGTCTACAAGGCGCGAGGGATGTGCGCGCAGCAGCGCCGGGCCTTCCAACCACACCCTGTGCAACAGCAAGGCCGAGCTGCTGGGGTTCAGGAGGCGACCCCCCGATCTGGTGCCAGCTCGCCTGAAACCGCCCACCAGCGGTTTCATCCATGCCGACTTACCCAAAACGCCCCTAAGCGCCCCTCAACCCCTAAAAAGCGCCCCCTCTCTCCCTCCCGCCTCGCCCTAAATCCCCAACCCCCGGCCCCTGGCCCCGCACCTGGAAAGACATGCTGATGGGGGGCCGCACCCAGGGCTTGGCCTCCTTGGTAGTGGACACCAGCACCACCTCGGCCCGCAGACCGTGCTCAGTGCCGCCGGCAAACCGCCGCACCTTCCACACCTTTGGGGGGGGAGGGGTGGCGAGAGGGGCGCGCGAGCGCGCAACCACGCATGCTCAGGGCTGCAAGGTCCCACAAGCGCGGAGGCCCTTGATCTCGTTGGTCAAAGTGAGGTGCCAAGGCCGCTGCAAGGAACAACGTGCGCAGCAATCGCGAAAGTGCCGGCCGCCGTCCCCCAACGACTCGACCCGCCGCCGACCCGTAGCGCGCAAGTGGGCCGCCCCCGTCCCCGCAGGAGGCACAGCTGTGGCCGCCCAGCCGGGCCACGCGGCAGCGGCAGCAGCGGAAACTGTGTCCCAGGCGACCGGCGCGGTGCTCACGATGGCCCTCTTTGTGGCGTCGTACTTGGCTTTGCCCGTGGTCACGCGTATAATGGCTTTCGCGGTGTTGTCCGGCACGGGCACCAGCACCACCACGGACAGCGCAAACATCTTGGGGCCGAAGAGGGACTTGACTGTCACGTTGGCCTCCATGCGGGTGCGGCCCAGCTCCTTGATGACCGGCATGACCTTGGGGTGGGTGTGAGTGTGAGAGAGAGCGCGTGTGTGCGTGTGTGTGTGTGCGTGTGTGTGTGTGCGTGTGTGTGTGTGTGTATGTGTGCGTGCGCGCGTGCGGAAGAGAGAGAGAGTGTGTGTGTATTGGGTAAAAAGGGTGGGTGTGTGAAGGAAGTGGAGGGAGTTCGTGGTGTGAGGGCATAATGCGTACGCACAACCTTGCGGCCCGGGTGCGACTGTGTTGAGGGGCGCTCTCCTTGGCACTCAAGAGCGAACCCAACGCCCAACAGGCTGGGCCTGGGGTGCGGCGAGGACGCAGGTGGGGTCTCCAGGCGAGCCCGGCCGCTGTCCCGGCAACCTCGAAAAGCGTGTCTGTGAGACGCGTCCCGCTTATGCGTCCGTTGCGCCCACCTTGAATGGGACACTGATGCCGTCTGCGCTGCGGTACCTGGGGGTGCAGTGAGCATTGGTAGAGAGGGGGGGGACTCGGCAAGCGGGCAAGGATGGGGGAGCGGGGGGCCGGTTACGCTGGGAGCCCTCTCATGCAGAACTCAGCAGCCGAACGTCCGTTTGCAGCACCCCTGCACGGTGTTGCGCTGGTGTGGTGTTCCATAGTCGGAATCGCAGCCACCTGAAGCCCCTGGACCCCTGTTGATAGGAGGCCACAACGCTGACTCAGCGTGCTCTCGCCAGCAATCCTGCCTGCGATGCCAAGCCCGCGCCCAAGCACCGACCGCACCCTCGGCCCCAGGACCAGCCCCCCCAACCCCGCTGGCCTCACTTCATGAGCTCAAACTCGCCGTCTGGCGGGATGAAGGTCACCACCTGCTGCGCCTCATACGTCCCCTGGCCATCAGGGGGGATCACACGCAAGTGGCGGGAGCAACAGAAGGGGGGAAGGTGGGCGAGGGCGGCCAAAGTAGTTGGCAGGTTTTGCGAGAGGGCTTCTGCGAGAGGGCTTCTGTGGGGATTTGGGAGGGTCCAGGGGTTCTCTGGGGATGAAAGGGTCTGGGACAGCAGCCGCAGCAGCCGGCGCTTGCAGGCACCAGCCGTCAACGCACGCCTCCACTCTCCAGCTTCGGCACCGCCATCCCTGCGACGCCCTCGCTCACACAATCCAGCACTGCGCCTGAGAACACGCGGCGCGGCAGCTGAGCCTGTGGGGAAAGGGAAGCTGCCACTCACCAGGTTGACGCACTGGTGGAAGGTGACGTCCTCAGGAGTGTCACTGAGCCCCAGCCGCAGCTCCGGCATGTCGCTGAGGTGGCACTTCATCAGGATGCGCCCCACCACGTCGCACCGCAGCACGTTGCCTTGTTTGCAGGAAGGTGTTTGTGGTGGTTGGGGGTGAGTGGGCGGTGAGGGGCGCGGGAGCGCGCGAGGGCGCAGCGGTTAGCGGCGTCGGCGGGCCAGGATACGCTGCTTTTTTACGCGGGATGTCACGAGACATGCGAACACCGCATGCGGGGAAAGGGTGGATTCAACCACGGCGCACCCCCATCCAAGGGGGTGTGGGTCAGGGTGTGGGTCTCCCAAGCCCCAACAGTGAATGCCGCTGGACCCACCCAAGGCGCATGCAAGCTCATAATAAGCCCATGCAAACGAGTCACTCTACACACACCCACACAGCTACCATGCAAACACACATGCACACCACTCACCACACACAAAAACCTCACACACACAGCAATCACAACCACGCACGTACGGACACACTCACACGCAAACACACACACGCACGCACACACACACACACACACACACACACACTCGTACCGCTCACCCGTGGCCCCCACCAACAGGTTGACATCCTCCACCACGTCCAAAAACACCTCGTTGGTCTTGTACCGCAGCCCCTCCCGCCGCCACGACACCGCACCCGTCACCGCCAGCGTCGCGCTCTGCGCCTGGCGCGCTGACATGGCCTTGGACTGGGGGGCGCACGCGCGCGCGGGGAAGGGGTGGGGAGCGGCGAGGGCGGGGGGCGCGCGGTGAGGGGAGCACGGGTGCATGATGAGTGGGGATTTTGCAGGGCAACCTCGTTGGTGGGGTGGGCTGGGGAACGACGACCGGGAGGGAGCCCGCGCGGCGCCCCCTGCAGGCCTCAAACTCGTTGGAGCTCTGATGCATGTCGTTCGCGCGCCGCTGCAGTCCCCTGGATGGGCACGCGCACGCCGACCAAGGCCCGCCGCAAGCAGGAGGGTCCCGTAAGCGCCCCCGCCCGCACGCGCACTTCGCTGCTGCTGCTGCTGCTGCCGCCTTCGAGGCTGCGGACGCCCTTCTGGAACACAAAGCTCTTCAGGCTCGCCGGCTCCGTCAGCTGCAGGGCGCGCGCAGGAGAGGTTTGAGGTCGGTCGGGCCGCCGCGCCCCTTTGCCGCCGGCGGCGCAGCCGGGCACGCCGCTTCCAAAGGCGCAGCCCGCAATCTATGCTGCCCGCGGCGTCGCCGCCGCGAGCGCCCAGGCCGCGAGCTGCCGCCGGG